ACCTTCCATATAGAGAACACGCACAGCATCCTCTTGCTCATCTCTCGGCTCACCCTCGAGAGGGTGGAGTCAGACGGATGCACCTCCGGGGGAAATCGTTGGCGGTACCTCCGCCAGAAGCTGACCTTGGTGTCCCTCAGCTCGGTCTCTCCAAGCATGGAATCGAGGTCATCAGAGGCCACCTTGGAGCGATCTTGCTCCATTTGCCTGAAATAGAGGGTGATGGCGTGCCATGCCCGCCGCAAGCGGGAAACCTGAAGCATCTTGCCATCCCCAAGCGACAGCTTCGAGAGCCATGGCTCAACCGCGCCCTCACTGTCAAAGAAAAATCGAAATTCTTCAAAATTAGAGATACCGGTCTTGATCAAGGCTTCCACAACAACAGGGTCAAGGCTGAAGTTCGTGCCTAGCGCCTTCAGAGAATCTTCAATCCTCGAAGACTCCCTCGGCACTAAGCTCAAAGAACTAGCCATGCTGTCTCGGGGATCCCTTCCCACGCGCCTAAGCCAAAGCTGCCCGCTCGGAGGAGTCCCTCTCCTCCTGCACAATGACTACGGCCGTGACGAGTCCAGAGACGGGGGGGGGAAGGAAGACATAGGGACAGACCGAACGACGTCCTCATGGACATGCTTCTGCGGCTCGGTCAATTCTCCCTGCACCTCGATCCTACCCGCCTAGGCGAAACTCCCCCCCACCGAATACCCCTGTCGGGAGACTGCACTCTGTTTTCCCGCTGTCTTGGTCAAGCTCGCCACGGGCAACGGATCACTCCATCGCCAAAAGGGGGCTAGCTGCTCTTATGTGTCGCTGTGCGACAAGATGAAAACAGGTGCCACAGCCTCCTCAAGGGATCCAGGAGGCTGGTGCTCTATTGGCACAAACTTGGCATGTTGGCCTGCCCCAGGCAATCGCCTCCATCTTCGAGGTACACTTCGACGGGTTTGCCAAACGCCCTTTGCCCTTCTGGCCGCTCTGACGATGTGAGCAAAGGGGGGTGTCCTCATAGCCCTGGATGTGCAGCTGACTGCGGGCGGTCGCGATGTATCCGGTTGGCCGGGGCCAGGCATTGCCCAGACTAGATGTGCGAAGGGTCTCATGGATCCAACCAGCCAATGCCCTGTCTCTCAGCAAGCCTTGGATGTCGACATCCCTCACACTTGCCAAGTAGTCCCAAGCTGCTTCGAAGCGCTCCCGGAGCAGAATGGCTCGGATCATACACGCGGTACCCGCCGCGCGATGCCGGCCACTAATGCAGTGGAGGAGCACATCCTCACCTCCCCACAACGTATTGCACAGGAGCGGAAACAGGTCGCGCCATTGCTCGTCCCGCCTATCAGGGTGGGCGATAGCGAACTTGCGCAGGGTCGCTCCCTGCAAGCAAATGCCACCCCGCTGCGAAGGCTCCTCAAGCATGCATGCCACTTGAAGAGTGACGGATGGAAAGGCTGATGCTGACCTGTTCGTAGGCAATCCACCCAACCACAACGTGCCGCCACTTTGGACGGACAGCACTTTGGTCGGTGCCTGCGCGCTCTTCCCCCGCACGGTGGCCAAGCGGTCCCACCGCTGGTCGTGCACATTGGGTGTGAACGCGGCCGGGGGCTCGGGCATCTCGAAGATGTCGCTGGGAGCCTCCGTTGCTTCGGCTGCCGCTGCTCGCCATGGTGGAATGACCTCCGAGGCTTTGGGCGCCGCAGCTGTCGCTGCCACCGAGGGCGGCATGGCCTTGGGCGCCACGGGCTGCGCTGGGGAGGGTGCTGCCTCAGTGTCCGGGGGTGGCACGGTGCGCGCCTTCTTGGCCTTGGGAGCAGGGACTGGACTCGGGGACGCGCTCGGGGAGCGAGGGCCTGCTGAGGACTCATCTTCACTGGAGGTGCTCTCTGGCGATGATGAACGATGTGGAGCCTCAGGGGTGTCGGCCACAGGGAGAGCAACTGGCTCTGCGGTGCTGGGCACTGCGACATTCGCCAGAGGGGTGTGCTCGACGTCCTCGGCCACCACATAGCGCTTTGCCAAGCAAGCCTGAGCTGGATGCTTCCCTCCGCAGGCACGGCCAGTCTTCAGCACGATGGCGCAAAGGTGGGCTTCACCACAGGTCCCCTCGCCCACGTGGCAGGCGTCCAACTGAAAGTTGGGGCATAGCGCCTTGCCGTTCCTCAGGAAACGAGTGACCACCTTGCCATTGATGGAAGGGGGCATCACAGCCTCGGAGCGCTTGGAACTAGCTTGCGCCGCCCTTGTGAGCGCTGCCCGCTCTCGCGAGAAGGCGAACGCGCGCTGCGCTGCTGCCACCGACATCGGCTTGTCCCACAAGCTGTGCTTGTCGAGGCTCACTGCCCGCTGCACCTCGGGCTTGGCCGCGTCCACTGCGGCAGTGATGGCGGCTGGAGTTGCCAGTTCCCAGGCATCAAATTCGCCCAACCTGGCGACAAGTCCCAGCGACAGATGTTTGAGCCTCATGCTGACGAGATCACGGCTGCCTGCATAGTGTGTCGGCATGGCGGCCTCCTGAGGTAGCTCACTCTTGGATTGCCAATCCCCCAAGGCCACCATCTCAACCGGGGTGTACTTGGCCAGCAACGCCACCGTGGGCATGAGCCGGCGCCACGAGTAGGTGGAGAGGTCGGCCACGTCGGTCACAAGGTCCTGGAACAGCTCACGACCTGCGGCTTGCACCTCGGAGATGTCCCACGCGCGGCCCTCCCGATTGAAGCAGAGGCCGCCTGCATCTCGTTGGGCCTCGGGCAACTGGTTCCGAAGGGCCACCACATGCTCTGCCCAGGGCCAGCCATCTGTGAACTGCGAAGGGATGGAGAAATCGAAGCCCTCACGTTTGCTCGCCTGCTTCCCTTTGGGGCAATGGCAGTACAGCGTTGAGCGGGACAATCGCACCATCTGAGCACGTTGGACATGCCGGTAGCGTAGTACCCCTACGCCAACGATCCAACTCCCCAACATCGCAGTCCAGCGAGGGTCCTGTCGGGTGAAGGCTTCCTTGATGCCACGCTCCAAGTGGGTGAGCATGGGCGGCTCGACAACGAGAGCCTGGGATCGCGCAGCTGCCCGCCGTGAGGCAGGTGGATCCAGCACGATCGCATCCAACTGCCACCCCAAATGCCCCAGTTTATTCAACCAGCGAAGCGAGTTCAATGCCCGCTTGGGTCCTTTGGAGCCGGAGGCCAGGAATGACGCCAAATCCAAATGCTCGATCGTAGTCCTGCCTCGAGAGCGCATAAAGCTGACCAATTCCGACCACGTGCGCACAGCGTTCACCACTGTCTGAGGTTCAGATTTGGTCACTTTGACCTGCGCCAATCGAGTGAGTTGCAGTTTCCACTCCGCTAGGATCGCATCTGAGAGGTTCCCCACGGAAGGGCGGTGAATCCCGGCGTCCTCAAACACCTTGGCCAGCGCTTCCACTCGCCTGTTCACACTGTCAGCACTGAGAAAGCTTGTTGAGAAAGGGTCACTCCCTTCCGAACAGGCACTGGAGGAGCGGGTAGGTGAAGAGCATGGGCCGGCCTGTCGCGACTCGAGCCAGCTTCCACTGTAGAGGCCGCCAACGGCATCAGCTCCTCAGTCTGCTCGGAGCGGGCCTTGGTCCAAGCATCGGCCAATCCCCGGCCCCCGGCCAGCAAGGCCTCTTCCGCTGACCGAAAGGCAAAGGCAAAGTCCGCGTCGTCCAAGAGGTGGTATTGCTCCCTGAACTCGCGAACACGGGCGGCTTGGGCCACTTCAGACGAGGTCTCCGGGTCCCACCTGGAGCTCCCCGCTGACTCGACCGCATAACGCCCCCTGTCAGCCATGAGCCCTGCAAGGACGATCGCACTAGTCTGAGCCAGAACTGTCGATGCACAACGGGCACTGCCGTGACCAGAAGTTGCAGCTTTCACAAACGATCGATCGACAGACTCGACAGGACTCGAACGTGGGCAGGCGACAGAGGAGGCAGAGGGGGGGGATGAACTCAACGTCATAGGCCACGGCCCCCAGGATCGCCCGGATGGATCGGCCTGCATTCGCGACTTCCCGGGGAATACCTGGGGTCCCAACCAGGGACGACCATGGTTCCCGCCATGGCCGCCGCCCCTGCTGCCAAATCCGAACCAGCTCGAAGAACTCCTCGGTGTCGATGCCATCGTCCCCGTCGTCCAGCCGCTCCACGGCCAAACCAACGTGGACCGGCAAGATGTCCAACGGGCCCAGGTCAAAGGCAAGCCACTGCAGCGCCAGGCGGTCCAAGCGCGCCGCAGAGGCATGGTAGCGCTGCCACGCGACCGCTGGCCCAAGTCCCTCTTGAACCAGCAAGCAGCGGCGGTTCCATACGCCCACCCATGGGAACTGGAAGCCGCCCCGACGGTCGGTGCACCTTGCACACGGAATGTTGGTACACACGAACCGACGAGCCGGGGGGAACCCAGCGATGGAGAGGGGTTGCCCTGGAGACCCCAGATGCACCAACTCCACCACGGAGGCCCAGAGGCGCAAAGCTTCCCGCTCGCGCCCCTCAGCAACCAGCTCCTGAAGGTGAGCGCTGAACTCCATCCACGCGGCGGCATGGATCACCTGGTACCTGGTGTAGGCAGCAAGGCTTGTTCCCAACTCGCTCATGGGAAAACAGGGTCCCTCCCTGCACAAAAAAAGAACTGTCTCTCCAAGGGTTCCGCCCTCAAAAAGAGAGAACAAACGCTATTTTGGCCAAGTCACTTGAGCCAAAACATTCGTTGGTTCAAACCTATGGCAGTAATGAATACATGTTCACCCAAGCCTGCCAGACCTGAAACATGTTTAACAAATCGTTTGCACCTTCCACCTCTATATTTAACCATCAAAAGCCACAAGCCACACGCCTCAGAAGCCCTCGTCCAGGCTTCCTTCCTGCCTTTCTACTTCCCTCGCTAGAAAGCCACGAAAGCCAAAAGCCACAAAAAACATCCTAAATCAAATGGCCCTCCCCAGATTTTTGGGGAAACTTAACTCCAATGTCCCACTTCTCCATCCTGGTGGGAGAAGAACAAGTGTCGACACCCATTGCCTTGAGAAAGGAGCCGTTGTTTCACAGTGCACATGTTCACTGAGTAGCGATGCACTTGTTCCTAGTAGCTTCTTGTTCCTAGTAGTAAGGCACTTGTTCCTAGTAGCGATGCACTTGTTCACTGAGTAGCTGGCACAAGCACCAAAAGTTGAAGCAGCCCAATGCGCAGGCCTCTGCGGTCCGAGCTGCGGTCCAACGGCCAACACTCTCTAGCAGCAGGACGCTACGAGCGGAGTCAAGGGCATCGCTACTAGGAACAAGTGCCTTACTAGTAGTAACAAGAA